TACATATTCATCAGCAAGGAGAGGGTAAAATCACTGTTTAAGTAACTCACGTTTGTAGAGAGCCGCGCTGACGCAGGTTCACACACACACACACTTCTCTCTCTCTCCCTCTCGGTCGAATAATTAATTCAAGTAACTAAATGTTATAATTAATTAATTCAAATAAATGTGATCTTACCTAGGGATGTAACGATTACCGGTTTGACGATAAATCGTGATAAAATTCCTCACGGTTAGTATTACCGTTTCATCTTTTAATTATCATTAAAACCGTATTAGATTACCGTGATTTGAACAACTCACGATAAATAAATACTGTCCAGCATAAAGCACAGTTTTAAGTAACAGTATCACGTGCGCACAGCAGCAGAGTAGTTTCGTTTTGAGTGAAAACAGGGCGGAAAAGCTGGGAGGTTTTAAAAGAGTGCTAAGGGAATTATACAAATGAATGTATGAATTATGAATGTACCTCTGAAGTTTCTGACTGTCTTCAGAAACGATTCGATGGCATTTTGTTTTCATCTTCGCTCCATGTAATACCTAAAGGAAGTGTTCTTAATCGCAATACTGCTTTGTCCACGGAGGTTACAGGAAACAGCTCTAATTCAGCTTTTCCATAAGCGCCACCTGCTGTCAGAGAGTGGATTTACAGAGACCTATATTTACATACAGCCTGTGTGCAGTTTCTATCTGGCCAAAAGCAGACCGATTTTGCATGCCCTGCTGTAAATGTTGACCGGTTGATGAAAAACAAGCTTATGTGGATTCTACACATTTAAACAATTCAGATAAACTATCTAGAATTATTTATGGAGCAGATAAAATACATATAATATATATTGACACTATGCCAGAGAGATGTGCTGTAATTGCTGCAATAGGTGGACATACCAAATATTACAGTTAAAAGTAGGGATGTAACGATTACCGGTTTGACGATAAATCATGATAAAAATTCCCCACGGTTAGTATTACCGTTTCATATTTTAATTATCATTAAAACCGTATTAGATTACCGCGATTTGAACAAATCACGATAAATAAATACTGTCCAGCATAAAGCACAGTTTTCAGTAACAGTCTCACGTGCGCACAGCACGCAGAGTAGTTTCGTTTTGAGTGAAAACAGGATGGAAAAGCTAGGAGGTTTTAAAAGAGTGCTAAGGGAATTATACAAATGAATATATGAATGAATTAATTATAACTCACTTCATCTGATATTTGTTGTGCTCAGAGCAACCATCTGTGTGTTTAATGAACATTTTGAAATGAAATCATGTTTTGGAGGCAATAAAAGGTCAATATTTTCAGTTCTGTCAGGTGTTCTAATAATTTTGGCCACCACTGTATATGGGAACGAATCATGTAGAAATGTATTTATTGGAAAATGAAACATTTTATCAAACTTTGATAACTGCCTTCATCTTTTAAACAAGAGAGAAGTTAAAATCACCTGTCAGTTTCATCAAGTGAAGAACGAATTTATGCTCACGTGCATTATGTATTAGGTCTGTTATCATCTTTGACAGACAACATGTTGAAGCCGCTCAGGTCACCATTTTCTTCTCCTTCTCGGAAAGCAACGATGAAGTCAAAACATCCGGTAGTGGGGATTTTCAGAGATATGCGTGCACTCCCTGAACCTCAGCAGGCTTCTCATAAATACTAGCATGTTATTACAGATGTTTTTTGTTTTTTTGACAGACATTGATGTTGTATTCATGTTAAATTGATGTGGATTTGAAAACAGATGGATTGTAAGGTAATAATTATTTATTTCTTAGCTGGCAAGTATTCAGTGAAGTGATTGATGCCCGTGAGTGTATGTAGATGTTTATAGTTCTAATATTCCAACTGACAGCCAGCCTACGTTTTTGACAGACATGATAACATGCACGAGGGCTGAACTGTAAAAAAAAAAAAAATTGATGTTTTTGTATGATTTTGTCTCAGAAAAGTAATGTAGAAGCATTCAGTTTAAACAGAGCTCAAATAAAGTGCAAATTCTCCAAAATCTACACTGAAATGCAGTACTGCATGACTGTGCTTTACACTCCTGCTTGTGTTTTCTGTTGTGTTCAGGTCGAGAGCAGTTTCATGGCCTGGGCTCCATGTACTGCCGTGGTGCAGCTGCAGTCATCCTCACCTATGACGTTACCAACTGGCAGAGCCTGGCTGAGCTGGAAAACCGCTTCCTGTCCCTGACCGACACTGCTAACACTGACTGCATCTTTGCCATTGTGGGTAACAAAGCGGACCTTACCGACGCTCTCGCTCAAGAGCCAGTCACAGAGAGCGAGCGAAGAGACGAACCCCAGCCTGTGGTCACGTGTCCAACTCCCCCCGCCACTCCGCTTCAGCACAAACAGGTCAGCAGAGAGGACGCCATGGCCCTGTACGGCCGCGTGCTTCGCTACAAAGGCCTGGAGGAGAAGGCCTGTCTGCCCGCCGACAGGATGTGCTTTGAGACAAGCGCTAAAACGGGTTACAGTGTGGACGCTTTGTTTGAAACCCTCTTTGAACTGGTTCTGCCCTCCATCCTGAAGAAAAGGAGCGAGGGAGAGAGCGCCACTGTGGACCTGGAGACGCCAATGGAGCCAAAAAGGACTAAAGCAGGATGTTGTGCCTAGAGCTGGACAAACATAGGAGACGTGAGAATTGTTGTCAATCCGTGCCAAAGGAGGAATGGATCAAAATCATACCTAAAACTAGAATTCATGTGAACTACTGCTATGTACTTGTTTTTTTTTTCTCCAGAGCAGTATTAAAAAACTTTTGGGGGGAATTAAAAGATAGAAGCACTTGATAATCATACAGAATAGCTGATTTTTAGTTTTTATTTTCTGTGATTTTTTTTCTTTGCATTAATGGAATGAAATTGATTTTTTTTATTATTATATCTGGTGTGCATTATATTTTGTGGAAATCACATGAATATTTTCTGATACTGCCTCACTTATTCTAATTTGAGAAAAATAAAAATTCTTAAAGTTTGGAATAAATGGGTTAGTCTGTGTGGTTGGTGTGCGGTAGCTTTATTAAGTACACTACTGTTTAAGTTTTGGGATTCGTAACATTTTTTAAACATCTTGTATATAGTCTCTTATGAAAATAGTATTGCAATTTAAAATAACTGTTTTCAGTTTTAAAATATTTAAAGGGATTGTTCACCCAGAAATGAAAATTCTGTCATTAATTACTCACCCTCATGTCATTCCAAACCTGTAAGACCTTAGTTCAGGGGTGTCCAACCCTGCTCCTGGAGAGCTACCATCCTGCAGACTTTAGTTCCAACCCTGCTCCAGCACACCTGTCTGTAATTATCAAGCAACCCTGAACACCTTGATTAGCTGGTTCGGGTGTGTTTGATTGGGGTTAGAGCTGAAATCTGCAGGATGGTAGCTCTCCAGGAGCAGGGTTGGACACCCCTGCCTTAGTTCATCTTCGAAACACAAATTAAGATATTTTTGATCGAATCTGAGAGCTCTCTGACCCTCCATAGACAGCAAGGATATTACCACGATCAACGCACAGAAACGTAGCAAGGACATCGGTAAAATAGTCCATGTGACATCAGGGGTTCAACCGTAATTTTACGAAGCTACGAGAATACTTTTTGTGCGCAAAGAAAACAACAATTTATTCAGCAATTCTTCTCCTGAGTTACCGTCTTCTGCCATTTTGGAGAGTACCCCAGAACGTAATCAATGTAATCAGCTTTGTTTATGTTCAGTAGACAGTGCGCGCATGCTGAACATAAATGTGACAAGTGGGGGGCGGGGCCGAGGGAACGGAGCGAGGCCGGTGGAGTAATTGATGATGAGCAACACCTGCACCACTCACCGGTCTCCAGTCCCACGGAGGAGCTCCGGAAGGATAAAAGGAGGAGCTACGACAGTGAAAGAGGAGAGAGGACCAGGCCTGGACTTTATTTTTTAACACTTAAACAAAACTTTAATAATAAAATAAACACAAAATGAAAGTAAAGCGGCAGCCCCTCGCGGACGACTGCTGCACACAAAACACAAAATAAAGTCCAGGCCTGGTCCTCTCTCCTCTTTCACTGTCGTAGCTCCTCCTTTTATCCTTCCGGAGCTCCTCCGTGGGACTGGAGACCGGTGAGTGGTGCAGGTGTCGCTCATTATCATTATTACCCCACTAGTCACAGTAAATTACAACGCTGATTACATTCAGTGGTACTCTGATGTCCTTGTTACGTTTCTGTGCGTTGATCGTGGTAATATCCTTGCTGTCTATGGAGGGTCAGAGAGTTCTCAGATTTCATCAAAAATATCTTCATTTGTGTTCTGAAGATTAACTAAGGTTTTTAGAACGAAACGAGGGTAGAGTAATTAATGACAGAATTTTCATTTTTGGGTGAGCTAACTCTTTAAAGGTAATTTATTCCTGTGAGATCAAAGCTGAATTTTCAGCATCATTATTCCAGTCTTCAGTGTCACATGATCCTTCAGAAATCATTCTAATAGGCTGATTTGCTGCTCAAGAAACATTTCTTTATTCAGGATTCTTTGATCAATTATAAATTCTAGCATTATGATTAGTAATATGCATTGCTAAGAACTTCATATGGACAACCTTAAAGGTGATTTTCTCAATATTTTGATTTTTTTGCACCCTCAGATTCCAGATGTTCAAATAGTTGTATCTCAGCCAAATATTGTCCCATCGTAACAGACCATACATCAATGGAAAGCTTATTTATCTCGGAAAATTGACCCTTATGACTGGTTTTGTGGTCCAGGGTCACATATCATTCATATATGCTGCTTTTTATGCATATACTTAAATATGCTAAAATGCTTATTGTTGTTTTTGTGAAAACTGAATTTTTAAAAAATTCATTAAAGAACATAATTTATTTAAAATAGAAATCTTTTGGAACATTATAAATGTCTTTGCTATCACATTTGAATTATTGCTTCCTTGATGAGTAAAAGTATTAATTTCTGAAAGAAAAACTGCACCCCAACTTTTAAATAGCAGTGTGTATGAGTTCATACTTCACTTTCTACAAGGTAGATATTGTTCAGATATCATCAAAATGAGAGATGACACAAATGCGACAAACAAAAAGCATTTATTGTTCGTTTATTCAGCAATACAATTCAAAATCAATGTCTTCAAATATTCCACATAATTACATTTAAAGTACATTTGATAAAAAAAAGCAGTGACTTGTTTTCAATGCAAAAAGTGTTTTGAATTATAATCTTTTTTTGGTTCTCTTTAATTGTGTCAAAGACAGGTTAGTGGTTTATGGGCTTCAGGACAATAATACTTGTATAATGTGCACTGAAAATGGGCAAAGCTGCTCAAAGTCCAAAATAGCTTGACCACGTTTAGGTGACCCACATTTGGTTTAGCCATTGTTTCTAGACTTTGTTTACAGAAGATACAGCCTGCTTGAGCATGTGAAAGTGGGACAAAGATTGAACTCCAGTCTTCGAATGACCTGAACATGTGTCCTGTAAACCTCAGAGAAAATCAGTGCAATTGGTGTAACCAAGAGAGGGTTCATCTCAAACAAACCAGAATCCAGAGCCTCCTGACTGGACAAAACTCTAGTTAAAAGCTTCAAGTCTCAGAGTTTATGACCTTTATGAAACAAAATACCCAATGAACACCCTACTCTTTGTCTCCATCTGATAAATAGTGTCAGGTGACAACATTACACAATACGGGGTAATACTTGATTCTAAGCTGTTCAGATATAGCACATCAAAAAACAAACACAAAGCAAAAATAATGTACAGGCAGCAGAAGATGGTGTTAGTGTAAGTCTGGTGAAATTATATTTATATAAGAGTTCAAATATGAACAGAAGGCACTGTATTTAAAGTAGCTGTTCTATAGGGATGGGAATCGTGTGGAATTAAATGATTCCGTTTCTTGACTCCGTGGTTCTGTTAACGATTCTTTTAGTCATTTTTAAAGAAGAGAGATTGGAAAACAATTCTTATTGCAATCACTATCCTCAGAAATCTTGTCCTCGAATGATGAGGTCCTTTCAGAACAAGATTATATTTTGCTGTCTTTGTAAATCTTTGTTATATTTATTAAACCAACAGTCCTGCTTCAAATGACATTTTTATGAGGTGTGTCATGCTCCACGTCTGCAAAGCATCGTGCATGTGTGTGTCTGTATTTAATCACATGAAATAATTACTAATAGAAAGTTGATTCATATGCACAGACGTCAGAAAACTAGATTAACACTGATCGGCTTGGCATATTTTATTATAGTGAATGCAGACAATCCAGAATCGTTAACAGAACTGAATCACGAAGTGCAGAAACCCAACTAACACAAAAAAAAAAAGTGTTCAACAATCTCTGAACGCTTAAAACATTCAGTTTCTGTTAAATCATTTTGCAAACATTATGGGAATGCTACTTTTAAATTTTCTCTGAACATTCTGAAACAAGTATTAACGTTTAAAAAAAGTTAAATGAATGAATGATGTATAAATGACGTTTTGTGCAAACATTATGACATTATTAAAGTCGGAATAACTTTGAACAAACAGTCCATCAATGTTACTAGAAGAACGGTTTTCATAACTTTGAGAGAACCTTGCCAAAAACGTTCCCTGTTGGCTGGGAAGAAGATATGTGCTAATTGTACTGAGAGTAAATACAAAGTCTGCTATCAGCATTTAGTGTAAATAGATACTGCCTTTAAAAAAAGAAAAAGAAAAAAAGGAGCTTGTTTTGAATAAGAACCGGTTCTTGATTCCCAACCCCTCCATTCACAAAGTGCTACTCATAACACAGAAGGGTGGAGAAGTGCATAAGCATGGGCTTCTTTGGTTCAGCTGTATGTTTTTGGTAATATTAATTCAGGTCTGATAATGCTGAGGTAATAAGTTAGAAATTAAGCACCATTTCATATATATAAAAGTAAATAGCTATGCTTTCATGCATCTCTGGCTTTTTGCTTCTCATTATGCACATATCTTCAGTCATAAGGCACACAGTAGTGTTGAAGAGGGAAACTGAGGGCGTCATATGTGATACATTAAATACATGAAGCAATTTCAAAAGCCTAACTTGTGATGTTGCCATCCGGTTGACATTTGGAATGAAGTATTGGCATGGCCCGTTCTGCTGGTGTTAATTATAATGCTGCTTTGCTGCAATAGTGTCAAAGATGTTGATAGGTTACAGCTCACAGGTTCTTCATACACACTTGGCAGCGGCTGATGCGTGCCAAGAGCTGACCGGCTTTCAGTGTCTCAGAGGAAGGGGAACTCTGGAAGGTCTGATCGATAGATGTCAACCAGAAACTCTGCTTGTTGGCGAAGTAGTGGCACGTACCCTTGGCCCCGTTACACTCGATGAAGGGAGTGGTGCGGAAATCTTCTAGACAGGAGCCTGGAGACACCAGAGATTGACCGCCACCTTCATCTCCAGCTGCCGTGTGCTGTGAGAGAGTGACAGAATGAGTTAGAGGACGGTAAAAAGGATGGAGGTGTAACATTTTAGAAATGAAGTCTCACCATAAGGAAGGAGTAGCCAATCCAGAGACTTCTCCAGCCTGCTGGGCACTGTGGGATTGTTATATCTTGACTGTGTACGGCGATGGCCACAGATGGAGCTTCACACACGGAGCAGCGGCTGATGTATGGTTTTATTTCGGCCTCCTCCACGGGCATCATGGGAATTGGTGCGGTGGTGGACAGCCAATAGGATTTGTCATTGCGGCTGGCATAGTAGCACACGTCTCCAGGATTGCAGTATAGGAAGGGCATGGTGTTAAATCGGGGAAGACATGACCCGGCTAGACCTGAATGACAAAAGCACAAAGTACAGTTACTGATTTAAATATAATTACTTAATATAATTGTTTCAAAATAATATTTAGCAGCACAACTGTTTTCAACATTGATGATAATAAATGTTTCTTGAGCAGCAAATCAGCATATTAGACTGATTTCTGAAGGATCATGTGAAACTGAAGCCTGTAATGATGCTGAAAATTGAGCTTTGCATCACAGGAATAAATTACGTTTTAAAATATATTCACAAAGAAAACTGTTATTTTAAATTGTAATAATATTTCACAATATTACTGCCTTTACTGTATTTTGATAAAATAAATGCAACCTTGGTGAGAATAAGAGACGTCTTTCAAAAGCATATAAAAATCTTAACTCTAATGGTAATATCATATAATAATAAAAAAAATAATTACATGGAATGCATTGTGGGAAAAAAAATTTTCATAAACAAGTCTGTTGTTGACCAGTGATTGAAGAAACCAATCTTTCAAAATCTTCGAATCAATTTAACTAATTTGTAAAACGATTTACTGATTCACTGGTTATTTATGATTTTATATTAGGGTGTATTCACACCTGTCTTGTTTGGTTCGATTGAATCGAACTCAAGTTCGTTTCCCCCCTTGGTGCAGATCTTTTGGGCAGGTGTGAATACAGCAATCGCACTCGGGTGCGGACCAAACAACCGTACCGAGACCCAGCTGAAGAGGTGGTCTCAGTCCGGGTGCAAACAAACTCTGGTACGGTTGAATGGATGAACCAATGAATGGATGACCTTAAGCACACGTGTGGTTTTGTTTACAGTTTTTGGTTCACTTGCAAAAAGGACAGTGTGAAAGCGAACCGCACCAAACCAAAAAAATCAACATTGTATTTGGTCCGGACCAAAGCAAGTGAACTAGCGGACTTTCCTGGTGTGAATACACCCTTAGTTTTTGTTTGTCTGAAATTAAGTTTGTGTGCATACTAAAACATTACTGGTGTTTTTTATATGTCGTATGATAGATAAGCATTATGTATTGGGTGCTACATTTTGTTTCATCGATATGAAGGAGTTTTAGAAAATGTAACTGAAAAGTAAAAACAGTATTGTGATTTCTTTTTCTTTTTCCTAATGACAAAGTAATGTGATTCCATTATAAGTAATGAGTATCTGTAATGGGTTACTTCTGGTGAGTAACTTTAGCAACACTGTAGACAACACATGTTCAGTTTCATAAGCTACACTGAACAGTGTTACGAAATTCAACATTCAGATTCTGGATCTAAATTTTTGCAAATAATGGTGGTGTCAGACATGCAATAACTGTACATCTTGTGATTGATTTTATTACTTTGCCAGCTGCACTTACCAAGATCTTGGTTGTGGGCCTTCTCCTGTCCCTCAAAGTACAGAAGACTGTAACCGTCCCATAACTTGGACATGCCCACAGGGCACATGGGAATCTGCTCAGACTGACTGTGCTTCACCAGCAGGTAGCCAACATTGACACTGCGGCCAGGCATTCCGATAGGACCAGATGAACCAGGACCCCCTCGCGTCCCTACCAATTGAGATTCATTATCAACTTGTGAGCAAAGAAGCCTATTTACATGCCAGCCACCAAAATGACATTTACATTGCCAGTTGCCAAAATGACTTAAAAATGAAAGGCACACATTTCATTGGTGACCAGTCATCTACAATCCTTAATCCACTAATCTAGCCCAGAATCCCAGAATCCTCATCCCTCTTACACAAACACACCATTTACCTTCTTCGCCTTGTAGACCAGGGTGGCCCATTTGTCCAGGGTCTCCACGGAAGCCTGGATTTCCTGGTATTCCAGGGAGACCTGGCATGCCTTTTTCACCCTTTGGACCCCAAATCCCTGTAAACCGATAATAGCCATTTACACAATGATTCTGGAGCACAGCAAAAGCATCATATTCATGGATATATTTGTTTAAAATTGAGGCTTTTAATTCTCCTACCTGAATCACCAGGAGGTCCAGCAGGGCCGAGGTTTCCACTCCGTCCCTGTGGTCCTTGAATACCCATTGGGCCAGGTGGTCCTCTCTCACCTGGTAGTTTCTGTGGAACTGGTGGAAGTCCTTTAGCACCAGGTAAGCCAGGAAAACCTGAAGCAACAAGGTAGAGAGAATGGATAAGTGCAAAATTATTTCAGACATTGCAACAAATCTTTCTGACATCATATCTGGTCTGAATTAATAAGAAATGTTAAATGTTCAATATACAATCCAGATCCCATTGCAGCCAACACATTTAGATCTACTGGTCAAGCACTGTCACTCTTTAAAAAATGCAGGTCAGAAAAAATGAAATATGTGACCCTGGACCACAAAACCAGTCATAAGGGCCAATTTTTCGAAATTGAGATTTATGCATCATCTGAAAGCTGAATAAATAAGCTTTCCATTGATGTTGTATTTGGGATTAAAAGGGTTATGCCAACAAATAATTTCAACTCACCTGGGGGTCCGGTATCTCCTTTAGGTCCAACAGGGCCCCTATCGCCTTCAAAACCACGCCTTCCTGGGAATCCCATCATTCCTGGTTCTCCATTTACACCTTGAAATGAAACAAAGCATTCTTACATCATTACAGTTATTTTTAAGTTAAGGCTCATACTGGAACAAAGTAAACAATCTAAACATTTGCTCATCTAATATGATTTTCATGTGAGAAGGTGAGAAAGTGCATGGTGTAATTGTCTTAACATAATGACTACTGGTCTTACGTTTTGATTTTGCCAATGCAATGAAATCATATTTCATAATCTACCTTTTCTTCCTGACACTCCAGGTTCCCCTGACGGTCCTTTTTGTCCTGCGCCACCCTGGACACCTTTTTCTCCAGTCAATCCAAAATCACCTGGATTTCCTTTCTGTCCTTTTGCTCCAAATAGAGAAGGGTCACCTGGGAAAGTGTTCAGCTGGGATTAGAACTTTGCTTTCTGCAGACCAGTCAAGTTCTTCCACACTGAATGAATCAATCATTTCTTTTTGAACCTTGCCTTATACACAAAGGCATTGTCATGTTAGAATATAAAAGTGTCCTGTCCAAACTATTGCTATAAAATTAGAAGCACACAATTCCCTAGAATATCATAATATGTTTAAACATTAAGATTTGTACTTATGGAAATTACTAAAGTATTCAAACCTATTCATTAGAAGGGGGTGTCCCAATACTTTTGGCAATATAGTGTACATGCTTCTTGCATACTTTTTGTTATGCATAATGAACTCTGCCAATTATCAAAGGAATATAACATATCAACATAACATAACATATAGAAAAGGCAACTGACCTTTTAACCCTGGAAGACCATCAATACCAAATTGCCCCTGTTGTCCTGGATCTCCAGGTGACCCAATATTTCCTCGTAGACCAAAATGTCCTGGTTCTCCAGTGACACCCTTTACTCCTCTGGGCCCAGAAAGGCCGGGGTCTCCCTGATCTCCACTTTCTCCACTTGAACCTACAGGGACCCAGAATATTTAAGCATTGTGGGGAGAAAGAAATTTTGCTTCATTCCATTTAATTTAAATGTAATGTATTATATGCACCACCAGTCAAATGTTTGGACACACTTGACTGAATTTATGTTTGTGATCCTAAAGACCATAGGATCCATGAAATTCCTTACAAATCAAAACAATTTAATGATTTATATTGTAGAGTTGGACCAGAGAGTAAAGAGTAAAGAGAGTAAAGAAAAACCAGGCAATAGGGGCATTCACACCGGAGGAATGGAGGAAGTAGCTGATTTTTGGCCTTTCTGGCATGCGCTCCACAGGAACTGGGAGTGAGTTTAGTTGTAGCTCCTACTTAAAAGTACGGTCTAAGCCAGCACAATATAAAATATTGTATGTTTACTGGTTGAACGCATACCATACGAAACACCGGAATCTGCCA